ACTCCCGGTCCAAAAGCTTGATGGCAGCCTGATTGTCAACCATCATTGGCATGGGATTCAAGATTGCGAGGCCCAAATCTTGCATCAATTCACGGATTCCAAGTAGTTCACGAGCCGCGACTTCTGAAGCGGCGACAATTCTGCTTCCATTGTCGATAATGATACTCCACCTTGTTTTTTGCAAGTCCAGATAGTATTCATTCCATTAACATCTTATTTGCACCTGTCAACGACTTACGATCGTATTATTCAGCTTCAAAACCAGCGTCGCTACACGATGAAAGTCTCAAAGGGCTTCCTCCAGGATAAACGGTTGACATGTGCATCATGAGCGCTTAAGTTCCGTTTAGGTAGTGCAGGATGCTTTTCGCTAAATTTCCAGTCGCAAATAGTTGGCTGATGTGTTTGTCTTGTTGCTTTACGGACAGAGAAAGCAAGATCTGGCCTTGTGCAGCGTGCCACTCACAGCAAGCTGCCCACAAGAGATAGGAAATCCTTCACACACGACTGACCTTCACTCGCGTGTACCGGTAGCAGATCGTCGTGTCCAAGCGATCTTTTGTAGCAATCGTCACCAGTTGACGTGCCTTCTCCCTTTACAAACTCCATATTGATACTTACAAGTATGTCATTGATCGCTTCTTGTTATCGAAAAAAGATCCTCCTTTATCCATCATTACAATGCGCCTTCCGATGATTTTGCTGGCGCGTCCAAGCTGCTTGATCGACAGAGATGAAAGACTTTAAAAAACAATTATATACACACGAGACGATGTTACTAAAAGATCATCGACGTAAACACTAACAAATATTAAGTCCTAATCGATAACTTTGTGGTAAAGACACATCTCCGTGATGCATCGCCAAAACCCAGCTGCAGTGAGCTTGTTGTGAAGCAGTTGGCTCCACAAAAGACCAGCCTACTTCAATCCATTCAGCGTCTTCTTTAACTAAAGCACAAGCTCGTAGCCAGACTTGGCTTTAAATTTCGTTAGCTCTTCATCCGTGAAAAATAGTTAACCTGGTACACGCAAGTACATGTACAATTCGCTTCCCTTGTCAGCTTGCGCGTAGGCATTAGGCATATCGACATGATGAGTAGGAGCTTCCAAAAAATAAACGCCAACGCCCAAATGACCTCAATTTTCTCCATATCAGTGACTGCAGCGTAAGTTAGAAAGAAATTAACTCCGAACTTTCGCTCAATTCCACAAGCAACAAGTCGGGCCTTAAAACGCTCAGTGTCTCCTTGCGCATTAGTCTTCGTCTTTAAATACCCATTTACTGTGCAGGGCACTCATGTCTTTAAAAATAAAATGACTTCGAAAACACCAAGTCGTCTTTACACAGACAGCGCTTCGTCCATAGCCACAAACCAACTCATCCGAAATTTGACTTCTCGTGGCCTCGCAATAATTCATCGAATCATTACCAATGATGTGATTCACTTCCGTCGTGCTGATCTCCTTCTGACGATCATCATCCAGCGAAACACTAGTTCTCGAGTGTGTACCATACCATGATCTCTGCCAGGATCTAATCTTCTTCTTTTTCTTCTGAGTCTTGTTACGAGCTACAATCTCTGACGAAGAACTCGTTGCTTCATCTCCTTCTAACTCGGCCTTGTCATCGTCATTATCAACATTATTTCCACGCTAAATATGTTAATTATGTGCATCAGTCAATGTCTCAATATTTTTCGCATGCTAAGTGACAATGATTACTCTTTTTTGCTTCAAACACAGACGATATCATTTCACTTCGTCACTACTACCAGCAACTACTCCGACTCGTGCTTGTTACTTAAGGGAATATTTGCGTGGATCATTGTAGACCGTGCATATCGATCCAAACGCAACGATAAAGCTTAATTAAATCAGGAACCTTCTTTGTCAGCACTTCGATAGACGATGCCCTATTTTGGTTTGAGCGGCTCGGATTACGATTAAGTATGTATGCAGCGTACTTCACGGAATCTTCCCAGAAGTACAAAGGTAGTCCATAGGCGAACATCATACACCGGGCCATGTTCAAGATGGTCCTTTGCATGCACTCTGCCTTTCCGTTTGCAGCTTAATTTTTGGCTTCAGACACTTGGAGGCAACCTCAGTTTTCTCGCAAGACACATCAAGGTTCGATATTCACCTCCACCGTCAGTACGCAGAATGTGATTTCCTAAGATCAAACATCTTATCGAAGAAAGCCAAAAAAAGCCCGAATTTCTGGCCGCAGCGTCCTTGTTCTTGGCTAAAACATGCGGAAATAATATGACTTGTGTTCAACAAAATTAATCAGGTATCGTTTGCCTAGACAATTCTTCGGCGTCCTAGAACCCTGCAAATTGCTGCATATCACCCCACCGATTCTTTTTTGTCTGGGACTATTTGGATTGAAGAATTCTTGTTAGTATCCTTTTCGACTGACTTTTTTTCTTGCGCACACGTCAAACAATTCACGCAGACCTTGTCGCTCAGCTGTATCCCCGATCTTGGGTCTTTTGCAATGCGTTTGATGGTGTCGTAAGACAAATGTGCCAAACGTCGATGAGAATTTATCAACGCGTCAACTTGCAGATATAAATCAGCTTTGGCATTCTATACTTCATTTAGATAGACATGATTACATCGTGCGGCGCTAAGACTGACAGTCCTGGTTCAGCTTTAAACATCAGTACGTGGTTAATTGTTCATCTGAACATTGAATGCCACCATGCCAGTCTTAATTTGCACCAGAGATCGAACAACATCCACGTACTTAAGACTAAAAACATTCTCCTCCAGCTTCCCATACGACGTAATGTTCCTCGTAATTAATGGTGTGAGATGGACATCAGTCAGTCTAATTGTACTGGACTTACCAGCAACATGCACTCAAAGTAAGACTTACCCGACTTTTGTGATATGCAGCGTTTGAACGTCTGGTAGCATCCATTCTAATTCACAATTACTTGATTCTTCGAGCATGCGCTCATCACTTACAAGATGACGACTGTAGCCACTGTCCAAAATCCATTAATTTTGAACGTTGGTCAAATAATCTACTAAAGCAAGAGTCATGTAAATTCCACGCCTTTGTCTGTTATCTTTGATCTTCTTCTTTTTTCCACGACAATCCTTGTTCTAAATGAAACACGTCCTCTCGTTGACGTTCTTGGCCCTGATCCTGCTACAGGCAGTACGAAATCCTTTCCAGTAGTCTTTGTGCCTCACTGTAACGGGACACCCTGAAGCTTGTACTGGTAACAGTACAAGCTACTTATTCTGATGACAGAATAAGGCTGTGCCTCGGAACTTCACGTACACTCGTACGTGCAGAGGAAGACGGTAAGGAGAAGCGAGTACTTGGTTAAAGTAAAAAGTAGATTTGTATTTATAATAGTTAATGTCTGTTGATCAACCACAGTTTATCCTCATCTAACTATGTCTAAATACTAATGTGTATATCAACTATCTGCTCACCACTCATTGCGTGCGTCTGGCGCGTCTTCGTTGGTTGATATAGTGGCCTATATCAACAATTAGGAACTACTCGTAAGTGCTACAGAATATTTGTCCTTATGACAATATTCTGAGAATGTAACTCTTATAGTTATATTCATTTAACAATTTCTCATAAATTGTCATGTAACGGTTCACCCTGTTTCATCACCCCCCCCTTAACCATCAGTCACTTTAGTGACTGATTGACTAAATGGACACTCGTCCCAAATCATTTGGGACAGGGTTTGCACTTGTTGGTCCGAGTCCACATTCCAGCATTTCATCGCATGGTTAACAAGACCATGCGATGCGCGAGCAAGGCCGCCGAGAGCGCGTCTGCACGTCTCTGTGCAGACGCCGAAGCAGAAACCGCAGCAACTGATGTCTCATCGGTTGCTGAAGCGACTCAGCCTGTGTCACCTGGTGATGCCGGCGCTCTTCATGAAGACACTCATGTCTTCACAGAGTTTGAGCTCGGTGTCATATACTCTCCCGATACGGAAGATGGCCCTGTATCGACGGCGATTGAATCTAAGCCGCCTGCCAAGCGTGGCATGGATGATGCTACGCGTCGTAGCATCTTTGGTTATTTTAACGAATCAGATGAACCATCGCCAAAGCGAAGGCGCTCGATATCGCAAGACTCGGGCGCTCACAGTGGTGTCGGTTCTCCTATTGACACCACTTCACAGCGAGGTACCAGTACTTCTGTCGGCACGTCGCAGGAAGAGCGGGACCGCAACGTGTTGCGTCTCGCTCCCGAAAAGAAGGCATGGATGCCTCCAAAGTCAGTCATGGATCGCTTGTCGGCGACGACAAGTGATCGCTATCGAACACGATTGTTCGATTCATCAAGGATCCATCACCTTGACGTCAGTGCGAAAAACTATCGCACAGAACATGAGTTCTTCATCGATGCTTTCTTTAAGCATAGATGGTACAGTGGGAATCACAAACGTGAGGTCCCTCACTGCTTCAAGCGTGGAACGCTTACATCCATAACCTTGAGTATGTAGGTCGTGACGTTTGGAACGACAAACTTATCAAAGCTCGTGATAAGTTTGAAAAGAGAACCCCGACAGGTGCACGCTACAAGCTGCATCATCTGTCTAGGGAATAAGGATTACCCTGCCTCTCATGGGGAGACTCGTGCCCATGTTGTGTGAACAACTCTGCGCGTGCACCTAAGGAGGCTTACCTCCTTACTAGCCCGTGGTGGCGCGTACGTATCTCTACTGAGATGTACGAAGGGATTGACAACCTGAAATCCCTTTACGACCGTGCCGGGAAGACTTTCTCCAGTGGACCTTCTGCGGCACAGGATGTGCCGCGTCGTACTGCTCAACCAGACCCAGTACGTCAACCATCAGTTGGGAGCGGGGCTCCCAAGTATCCCAGGACGGGGGATAGCCGCGCCACCGGACGAGATAACTCGTCCGACGTCCGTTCACATCGCGGTGGTTCAACAGCTGCTCAACTAGATAGCGCTGTCCACCGCGAGAGTCCTCTAAGAGTCCTCTAATGAAGGTGGAGGAGGAGGGAAGACGCTCTCCACACAATCGTGGGGAAGCGTGTGTTCCCCAGAGCTTCTTTGATCGCGGAACGCAAGGGTTACGCGATGATCTCGAACATGAGCGGGACAGGCGTCTCCAACTGGCGGATACTGTTTTGAAGCATCGAGCTGAGTTTGCCTTTGCTCAGCTTGAGAACGAGAGAGCTCTGACATCTCTGCGTGACGAGCTAAGGGTAGCTAGTGTGGATATTGACCGGTCTCGGGATGAGATAACTGCTATTCAGACCCTTGTCGATGCTCACCATCGGGAGCACAAGGCCCTCTGTCAGATGCTTGAGCGCAAGGGACTTCTTCATCGGAAGAAAAAGCGTACAGGTGGTACGGCTTAAGCCGACCAACGTAAAATGTGGGATGCGTTCGCATCTTACGTGGCAGTTCGATTTTGTATGCGTTGCCTAGGCGATGTAATACACGAAAATGGGCCGATGTACTTGGGTTGAAGTTTACTACTGCCGACGTTAGTCACTACATGCTTTGGTAGTTAACCGTAAACAGTAGGACGAATTCACCTTTGTTAAAAAAGAGTGTTTGCCCTTCCATTCTTGTCAGCGTTTTGCTTTTGCTTATCCACCGCTTCGGCGATGGAGTCTTGCACAAAACGGACTACCGTTTCACGAGCCAGTATAAATTCATCTGATGAATCGTTAGCTTCATTGCGCTGTGAGTGCACTGCAGCAACATCAACCTTTTCTTCAGTGAGGGCTTCCGCGCTCTCACTGGCATCATCTTCTTCGATATCGATGTTATCGATATCGGCATCAAACGCAATGACCTCTTCGTCAGAGCGTGATGAGCGTGAACCAAATCGGTTTTTTCTCGCGCGAGTCCCTCCCCCTCTTAAACCAGAGTTATACTCTAGTAAGGTGGGTACACGCGGATGGCGTAAGCCATTCACGTAAAACGGTGTATGTGTCGTGGACGCATGCACCGAGTTGTTAATGGCAAACTCTACCATGGGCAAGAACTCACTCCAACTCTTAAAGGAGTGTACGTATCCTCGAAGTATCTCTTCTAGGACACGATTGGCACGTTCCGTCTGACCATCTGACTCTGGATGATCAGATGTCGACATCTTCAAGCGCGTTCCGAGTGATTTGAACACGGAACGCCAGAAATCAGCAGCGAAGCGTGGATCTCTGTCTGATACGAGTTCACGGGGCAACCCATGAAGTCGGAAGATGGTGTCGATAAAGACACAAGCACAGCCACTTGCCGTGATTGACTCGGGTACAGCCACAAGGTGTACCATTTTGCTGAATCTGTCAACAAATACGAGAATACCCGTATTCCCGCGTGCGTCTTTGGGTAACCCGAACACAAAATCCATTGCGATGGATTCCCATCATTCTGCCGAAACCGGTAGAGGCTGTAAAGGTGCACGCAGTGAAGGACTTGACTTCACTCGTTGACAGACTTCGCATGAGCGAACATACTTGCGCACAAATTGATACTGGCGGGGCCAGTAAAAGTCTCGACTCACCGTGAGATACGTTTTCTCACGGCCACGATGTCCTCCTATAGGAGCATCGGGACACTCGAACATGATCCGCAAACGCAGATCAGTATCATCTGGAATGACAACACGTGGTGTGTCACCAGTAACGGCTGTATGATACAGTAAACCGTCGCGAGTAGTGTATCGATCTGATGCAGATCGATACACAGACGATAATCGTTTCAACGATTCTCGAGATGGTTGTGAGAGATGTGCCAACAACTTCACTATCTCACCATCTTGGGCATACGCCCGCCTCACATCATCATGTAAAGTTGAAGACGGTATTGTGGACGTCATAACCGCAACAGTGTCTGTCTCACTGTTGGGTTTCACGACCGGTTCAAAGTCGGGCCGACGTGAGAGTGCATCAGCGACAACATTAAGTCTTCCTGGTTTGTACTCTACCGTAAAGTTGTATTATGCAAAGATAGACAACCACCGCGCCATTCGTTCTGAAAGGTGCGGGCTGTTTATTGCCGTACGTAATGACGCATGGTCAGTGTAAACAATGAAGGGTTTATCTCCTAATAGATAGACTCTAAACTTCGCGAGTGCATACTTCATGGCAAGGAGTTCCTTGTCATGCACCAAATAGTTCCGCTCAGCTGGTTGCAGCTGACGCGACTGAAAGCAGACGACGCCTTCAACGCCTTTAAGGTCGTACTGCATTAATGCACAGCCGATTGCGACATCGCTGGCATCACAGACCACATGAAATAGCCTGTCCTGATCGGCAATTGCTAGGACTGGGGATTGTATCAAGCTCTGCTTGATACCATCAAAGGAGCGCTTACATTCAGCGTTCCATAACCACCTCTCATTCTTTTTCAACAAACGAGAGAGGTGCACAGTCATCTCGGCGTAATTGCGTGAATACTTGTGCAAATACGACGCCAAGCTAAGGAATTTTTGAAGACCTTTGACGTCAACTGCCACAGGCCAGTCGGTGATCGCCTTGATCTTTTCGGGATCAGGACGTACACCGTTCTTACCAACGATGCACCCAAGAAGTGGTATTTCGCTTGCTGCAAATATACACTTCTTGAGGTTTGCATACAATTGATGCTTTCGCATGATTGTAAGAACCTGTCGGACGTGGTACCTGTGAACCTCAACGTCCGACTTTCCATCCATAGCCCGACTATGGATGAATACGTCATCGAAATGACTCGGCGCAAATTCTCGTACTGGTCTCAACAGATGGGATACACATCTGTTGAACGTGGCAGGGGCATTACTAAGCCCTTGTGGCATTACTAGCCATTCCCAGAGCATGCCGCTAGGCGTGCTCACTGCGGTATAGGGCATATCTTGTTCTCGCATAAAGATTTGATAGAATCCATCCATCAAATCCATGGACGAAAAGATGGTACTCTTTGACATACCATCAATGATTACGTCCTTCCTCGGTATCTGCGTCTGAGCCGGTACCGTTGCAGCATTCAACTTGTTAAATGCATGCACTATCCGCCACTCTCCTGTTGCTTTTCGCACACAGAAGGTCGGAGAGCTATGTGGGGAAGTTGATTCCCTCACATGGCCCGCAGCTAAACGATCGACAAAGAACTTGTCGATCGCAAGTACTTGTTCACGAGGCAGTGGCCACTGCTTCATGACACAGTACTTCGAGCCTGGTTTAAGCTCGACCTCGTGTCTAATACCTTTATCCTTCGGTAATTCGCACGGAACAGTTTCAGGGAATACATCCTTGAATTCAACCAAATCTTCATAGAGAGGATTTTTCTTGAGCGATTCCCATGATTGGGAGTCATATCGCTCAATTCGTGTCTTTTCATCTAGGACACTCTCGTCCATAGATGAACTACTGAGAACTCTCTCGTTCTCAGTGAACACTGTTGCTGACCTTATGTCGGTTACACACTCGTCGTCAGCGACGAGTATGCAGATCTGCTTGACTTTGCCACTACGCAGATCACGCAAGAACCTTTTATGTTCGAGCGTTGGCAACTGAGTGATCTCCGAAGTTAACTTCGGAGGCGCAATCAGATCAAGTGTATAAGCGCCTACGCTTGATCTGTTATTGACTATGACATTCAATGTCTCTGTCATTTCCTGGGGACTTATTCCCTCAGGCTTTGAAGGACTTATTCCTTCGTCTTCCCGGGGACTTATTCCCGCGGGTTTCGGGGAACTTATTTCCGCCGTATTTGTAATCTTGGGACTTATTCCCTTTACTTCCTCTAGCTGGGGTTGCGCAACCACAGCGAGATCCTCTACGAAAGACTCTCCAGTCGATCTAGGATTATCGTTTCGCTTAACCTGAGCGATCGATTGTTTCTCTTCTAGATGTTCCCCGCTAGGGATACATCTTTGTCCCAGTCCACCCGACTTATTCGAGTGGTGGACCTTCGGCGCAGCCTGTGTTTCCCTCACAGCCGCCGGAACTTTGCTCCGAAGTGTAACCGTTTGGTACACTAAGGTTTTGTGCAGTCGTACTAACGACCGTACCACAAGTGAGGCCATCGCACTCACTCGTAGTACATCCACACGCTTGTGGACGCTCCAAAACGTTCATCAGATGGCCATCTGATGAACAAGCGGCAGGCATCGTTACTGTTCGATGTTGCCAGTTTACTCGTGGTTCGTACCTTCTGAGCCACGGTATTCCAAGGATGACATCAAATTTGTCATCCAAATCCAATACGATAAAGTCATCGTCATATTGGGTATCTTCTAGCGTATAGTGGATCTTCACTATACGCTTCATGACGGTTACGGATGCGCCTGTCGCAAGACGTACCGTCATCCTCGTAGAAGGTGTGTCACATTCACTGAATTTAAAGTGACCATCTTCTAGCGATTGGCGTCGCACAAAATTGTTGGACGCCCCACAATCGACTAGAGCTCGAAGGGACAACTTATTCGTCACTTCGAGTTTCAAGGTAATGAGTGAGACCTCATTACCTAGAGCAGCAACGCACAACGTTTGTGTGTTGGGAGCAACCTTCATCAAGAGGCCTACAAATTCTCTTGACGTTGCTGGACCAGTAGGGTGCTCCGCACCTACTGATCCTGTCCGTTTTTTGACGGTCCATCCCGTTGTTGCGTCTTTGCACCAACAGCGGACCCGCGTCCCTGCCCCTTTCTCATGGGTGGACGGTCACTACGCCCAGTGTCGCGAGACACTGGACGAGGGGCACTACACTCGTAAGCGTAGTGTCCTGTCTTTTGACATCTGTTGCATCTCTGCAACTTCTTGTAGCCTGTAGAGCGAGCCTTCTCGCTATCTACATAACAGAGTTCCATCGGCTCTGGACCTCCGTTGTCATATCGTCTCGGTTGACGATATGATGTCGAGCTGGCGCGAGCCTGTCTCAGACTGAAGTCTTCCTGCTCCGCAATGGAAATGGCTTGTTCTAGTGAATCTAGTTCAAGCCGGAACAGGTGAGTCTTGACGGGACCATCCGCAAGACCCTGCATGAACACCGAAACCAACGTGTGTTCATCCACCGGATTGGAACTTATACAACTCGTGAGATGTCGTATATGTTGAGCGTAAGCGTGCACATCACGCTTACTCTGTTTGAGCTTCAAGAGTTCGATTCGAGCCCTGAACTCAGCTCTAGGCGGTTCAAACGTTTGTCTGAGCCGCGACTTGAAGACTTCCAACGACCCAAACGCATATGGGTCGTGCAACTTGAGCCCCAGTGCCCAAGTCTTGGCACGTCCTGCCAGATTTGACTGGGCAAATGCAACTTGCATATCCCCGTCGTCGATGCGACGCGCCCTTATGGCGTCATCTAATTCGACGAACCATCTCAAGAGGGAGTCCTCTTCGACTCCCCTATACTTGGAGATGTCAATCTTCAAGGTCTCGGGTCGACGCGAATGCATCGACCCACCAGCAGCAGTCTGCTGCTGTCTCAACAGTTCAAACTGTTGAACACCCTGTTCTCTCAACAACTCTGCTTGTTGAGAACCTTGTTGGTGAAGCAAGGCTACTTTCTCGCGTTCAGTGTCAAGTTCATTTTGAATGAACTTGGCGATAGTAGCATGTTGGGCATCTCTATTGAGAGCCTCTAGCATTACGCTAACAGCATGGATGCCCATGGTTGAACCCATCCGTTCAACCGCATCCCATTCGACATCGCTCAAATGAGAGTAGCCGTCACGCGTAGCGTGAAAGCTTTGGTCATCTTCATCATCCAACATATTCATGTTAAATGTGAACGTGGTCCTTGGACGGACTACGAAGTGCTACCAGGTGTAACAGGGCACCCTGAAGCTTGTACTGATGACAGTACAAGCTACTTATTCTGATGACAGAATAAGGCTGTGCCTCGTAACTTCACGTACACTCGTACGTGCAGAGGAAGACGGTAAGGAGAAGCGAGTACTTGGTTAAAGTAAAAAGTAGATTTGTATTTATAATAGTTAATGTCTGTTGATCAACCACAGTTTATCCTCATCTAACTATGTCTAAATACTAATGTGTATATCAACTATCTGCTCACCACTCATTGCGTGCGTCTGTCGTGGCGCGTCTTCGTTGGTTGATATAGTGGCCTATATCAACAATTAGGAACTACTCGTAAGTGCTACAGAATATTTGTCCTTATGACAATATTCTGAGAATGTAACTCTTATAGTTATATTCATTTAACAATTTCTCATAAATTGTCATGTAACGCTTCACCCCGTTACAATACCAGCAAAGTCCACGACATTGTGGTCGTAGTCTTGATTGCAAATAAACTGACTGCGGCTCACGTCGAGGAGACTATGTGAGGTGTCGATGTCGGAGCTGCGCTTGTAGTAAAAGATGTGAGCTCTGAAGTGACGGCAGAGATGATTGAAAAGGTGCTTCGTGATGTCAAGCAAATTGTTTTGCTCTAGAATGAGCAAATGCGAAGATCACAGCAAAATCACGAAGAATACCTATGGATTGGCATACCGCCTGATTGCAGAGGATGACGAGCGTCATGATCTTTGGTTTACAACTTGGTATGCTAAGATGCCGGAATACTTTTGTCGCAAGAACTAAGCGCCAGATCCGGCAATGTGACGTGGCGGCCTCCAACAAGAAGAGGCGAGGCACACGGCAAGACGAAAACCCGCCCGAGCCAAGCCTGGTGTGAGTATATCTTGTAGGCGCTCTGAGTGCATCGCAACCCCATGTAGCAGAAGAGGAAGACCTCGGTGATGAACAGCGCAGACGAGGTAATCACCGTGAACGCAATCAATTTATTGTGGGTCTGCATGATAAATGAAACGGCGCAGAACGGGAGAGCGTCACCACAGTGATGGCGGTCCCCTTCAAGACCGCTTGTGCGGCCGTTAGAACTGGTGTGGGCGACCACCGAAGCGATGACGCGCAAGGAGGAGACGTTACCGGCCGTAAAAATTGCTCCAACCATGTGGGCGTGTGGCAATGCCACACGCACTTCGGCTCACGCGAGGGAGGATTCCCATCGATGAGGTTTCTCGATTTAGAGGATGAGGCAATGACAGGCTTGAGCTAGACTGTAGGACTTCGGGAATGCGCGAGCGGGAAAGTGCATGGCGACCCTTAACATCACATCGTGTCGCAAGCATCACCGCAGGAAGGTGGCTAATCAGCAGCAAAAATTAAGACTAGCCAGCCAAAAGAGAGGCAGCAAGTACCCAAATACCAGTAAATTGCCTTTCCAGCGTTTATGCGCGGCTGTCAAAGACGGAATGTCAGTAATTCCGGCGGTTCTTACTTAAAACGTATATTCAAGTCACCTATCTCGGCTTAGCTGCCACATCTCGCAGCTGCCACATCTCACCCAGCTACCATCTCCTCACCTACCATATCTACTTCCATCGAGTTCGGTTGTGGTCTCTGACTATATTTGTGTTCGACGCAGACCAATTTAAGCAATCTCGACCGAGTGTATTTTACACTTGGCATCTTTCTTTCTCATGCATGCTCAAGTAGGATCTTGTAATTATCACTACCACTCCAATTGATGCTTTGTACATGTTTAAATAGCTTATCGTCCTGATCAATATTCGCTGTGGTGACGAGCCTGCCATCTCACTAGAAGACCATTCCGTTCACTGCAGTGTCTTCAAAACGGAAGGGAGGCCCTCGCTGGCAAGGAAGATGTGGTTTGCACGCAGAGGAAATTTGGGTGTAATTCGAAAGGAATGAGCGAAACCAATTCGGAGACGTGTGCGACGCAGATGGTGATAAGCACGGTACCGACAACGGCAAAACGACACCACAGCGGTAGCCCGACATTGAAAGACAGCAGCAACGACGAACGACAACTATGGAGGACAACGACAACGTCGACAGCGACGCAAAAAAATCAAACGAGAGACGGACTTAGATGTTGCTGGGTAAACATTTGGCAAGCGCAAAGAGACATGCGCAGTCGTCAAAATGAGTCCCAATGGACAGCTAGAATCAAGAGAATTAATGGCCTTTACGAGGGAGGTCGAACTTTCAGGCGAGCATATCCTCGCTACTACCAGGACATGGGACATATATCTGGGTGCTCGCAAAGACTTTTGTTTCGTTCACCTGATTAGATCCCGACAAAGCACTCATGATTTTAGACAATCTGCGGATAGCATCAGGCGGTGTATCCCACGCAGCATTCCCTACCTTCGATGAGGCTCTCTTTCTACTCTTTGTTTTATCTTCACAATATGTTCTTGTCGTTACCCGATTCAACTTGTCTCTTCCTCGACTTTCTCTGCTTCCCTTGCATCAAGGACAGGTGCTTGTAGTGTGCCCATTGTTGATGTTGATGTGACCCTGATGGCACGAGACTGATCGACGACAGCCGCCGTAATGGGCAAAATCATGCGATTTGCGCACGTACTTGCTGCAACACTTTTGCTGCTAGCTAGTCTTTACTTGCTGTGACTTAGTCCGTTCCGCATTACCAGCACACGAATCCTGCGTTTTCGAGACATTATTTGTCTTGTCAACTGGCACTTCATCTAGCGATCGGACGATATCCCATCTCGTTCGGTATCTTCAAGCCTAAGTTGTGCACTTGACGACAGCAATCATTGAAGAAGAAGTATCAAGCCCGAAGTCCTTCCTTCTCGATCAGCTCTCTTCATTCGTCATTTTGGAATTCATCTCCTTCACCACAAGCGCAACTTCGACATCACCACCTACTTCCCCTTATCTGACGGTTGTCATGGTCCGTTCGTCCCTGCTCAAGTCTGCGGCCTTGGTGTCGTCGACGCTGCTGGCGTCTCTAGCTGCTGCGAACACGGGTCAAGAGACCGTCAAAATGGCGCATCCGTCCGGCGCAACAGCGGAGATCGCTCTCGTCGGCGCAACTGTGATCTCATTTACCACGGCCGCACACCCGGACCGTGACGTGCTGTTCATGTCGAAGAAGTCACAAGTGGACGGCTCGAACGCTATTCAAGGCGGCATCCCCATCGTGTTCCCGAACCTAGATAGCTCTATGGGCTTCAAAGTCCCTGACCGCGGGTTTGCCCGTACCACCAAGTGGTCCGTCGTCAGCGAGCAGCCATCGACCGAAAGAGACGAGGACAGTGTTGCCACTTTCCGTATGGAATCCAGCGATGCAACGCGTCCGATGTGGCCTTTCGAATTCGAGCTCGAGTACGAGGTGAGGCTGAGCTCAGATTCGATCCAAACGAAGCTGATTGTGCACAACACTGACTCGAAACACATCGAGTTCGACGTGGTGCTGGACAACTACATCCGCACCAACGACATTCTGAAGGACAGCGTCAAAATTGCGGGTCTGCAGAATGTCGACTACTTTGACAGGGTGACAAAGTCGACTCAAAACGATACGCGCGAGAGCTTCACAATTACAAAGGGGGTTGACAGCATCTACAAGGATGTCTTTAAAGACGTTATGGCCTACATCCGAGGTGACACTTACGACCAGATCGTATCCGTCCACTTCTCTGCCCTGGTTTTTGGTGGCGGTCACAAACCCGACTACTTCCAAACGGATTGCGTCATCAGGAACCCCGGCCAGATGAGCGCGGAGGCCATGGAGGATTTTGGTGACGACGAGTACCGTTACACGGTCGCCATTGGCCCGGGAATAGTGAGCGAGAAGCAAGTGATTGCGCCTGGCTTCGGGTACGAGCTGAGCCAACTCATCACGGTTTTGGAGGCTGGAATCGAGTAAGTGGTGCTCGTGGTAAGCTGGATCGTACCGATTCGACGTGGCTGCTCGAGCCTGATCACATGAGTCTATCGATGTGCAAAAGACAGAAACCGCTTTGCCTTTGCACTTTTGTTTTCCTGTCGTCGCTCCGACTATAGTTAACTCGCTTACACCTCTTACCCTTCCTTAAGCTTGGACTCTGCTTACGCGTTAACCTCATCGATCGTAATTGTAATGTTGAGTAGGCAAAACAATGCTTAACTTCGTGAAAGTTCCACATCCTTAATCAGGAGTGGTCGCAATGTCGTCTCGAGACAAGCACGCTTGTTTTGAGGTGACTGTGGCGCTAGAAGCAAGTACTTTGCTTAGAACAGGAAAGATGGTGCCGACTCGTATTGCTGCTGGTAAGCTTCGCAGATACAGATGCACTCGACAGTCTCATCTAGGAGGTTAAGCTTTGTTCGAGGCCGTAGCAAACGATATCATCCACAAGACGTTCCTTACGCTGCAATCTGTATTCAGGTATATTAGAAAGCGGCGAAAACTTCGAGCTCGGACATTTGATCACATACAGACCCTCGTGTGCCACACTGTCTTGTGACGGTACAGTGCTGCCTCATGTTGAATTAAAGGTGCTAGTATATCAAATATCTGTACGAGCGAAGGCGCATCTAATGGAGCCCATTGAAATATTGAGCTGACGGAACATGACCGACAGTTTGCTTTTTATACGTTAACGGTTGTGCTTTGCTTCGGCATATTACAACGCCGTGTGCAGCGCATAAAGGCGATGAGAAAGCAAGATTGAAGGCTCTTTAAAGATGCACGAGGACCAGCAAAGATAACACACATGATGTTGCCTCGCTGCATCCAGTGTGGTAGAGGGATACGGCTCGAATCAGTACAGCTTTGACTCGTGCTACAGGTAATAGCGTTAATGTAGTGGTCACAAAAATCAATACTCAAGGACACATCCTGATCTCTAACAGGGCAAACAATGGACTTGGTATAGCCTCCAACGGCTTCTGTATGACCTTATAGCACCAAACGTAAAGGTGGCTATTGCAAAAGTCCAAATGATCGATGCTGAAATTGGTGCGACATTGTAGCCTCGCTGCTTCAAAGGTCAGACAAGTAATGGTGGATACGAGCTCGCTAGGTACTACAGCGCAGGCTTCGACCCAAACACAATCTCGACTGCTTCGTGTAGGTCATTCAAGGTTGGCGAACGTGTGTGCAAGGGACATGCTGATGGTAAAAACTGGTCAAGCTCAACGTTAAAGGACTGATTCAAGTCATCTAGGCGAGTCGTTGGCAATGATACAGGTATGAAGAACACGATTGAGCTTAAGAGGGATTATTTCCCGATCAGTCTCGAAAGGACGGTCGTACTGAAAGATTACAGCATGTAGAGGACATGCCTCCTAATCGCTACACTAGCAAAAAACAAGGGACGACAATGCGGTAGCAATTTAAGAAGCAATTAAGCAGACTATGCAAGTCGGTTGCAGTAAATGATTTAGAAGTCCGACGTCAGAATCGGTACTGCAACAACGTTGACGCACCATTCAGTTCGACGGAGACAAACTATTGTTTTGGAGTGGCGACGGGACGGCGCATACATGGCTGCAGTGGGATTCTGTGCCGGGTTTGATAGTTTTCATAGAGTGATATGATGTATTCGAGAGCTTTGTTAAGTAAATTGAATGCCGTGTCGAAAGCTGAACACATGATTGCTGTGTGCTGAGGTGCCAAATGCCAAGTACATGAGTCTGAGATGGATGCAATGAAGTCACCACTTCCACATGAGGTCGATGCAGAGAGGTCATAGACATTTGCTCAGTGTCATAAGTTACGATCACAACTCACAGCAAATGCTCAAATTGTACATGCGTCTCACTACAAATAAAACAAAGTTTTTAATTTGTTTAGTTACTCTTTTGTAACAGGGCACCCTGAAGCTTGTACTGATGACAGTACAATCTACTTATTCTGATGACAGAATAAGGCGGTGCCTCGTATCTTCACGTACACTCGTACGTGCAGAGGAAGACGGTAAGAAGAAGCGAGTACTTGGTTAAAGTAAAAAGTAGAATTGTATTTAGTATAGTTAATGTCTGCAATAAATCACTATTTATCTTCATCTAACTATGTCTAAATACAAATGTGTAAATCAGTTATCTGCTCACCACTCATTGCGTGCGTCTGTCGTGGCGCGTCTTCGTTGTTGATATAATGGCCTATATCAACCAATTAGGAACTACTCGTAAGTGCTACAGAATATTGTCCTTATGACAATATTCTGAGAGTATAACTCTTATAGTTATATTCTATTAACAATTTCTTATAAATTGTTATGTAACGATTCACCCCGTTACATCTTTCGGATGTGGATGTTTTTTTACTGCACGTAAATATGATAGCGTTGGGCATGCGGATAATTTTGAGGTCATCCACCATGCACCTCTGTATATTCGGTGATAGACCGCCGCGATCAGGCCGCCAGATACGTGCGGTAAAACATGGCACGTACCAGGCGTGATAGGGTTGCGCTTTTCAATGCGTGTTAAAAAGGGACATGACGTGAAAAGGAGTTGCACATCGTAGGATATATCGTATCCTGTATCTTAGACACACGGGATGGTATCCCACTAAAAGAGATAAAGATTATCATATCGGTTTACAGAGGCTGACGGGTATCAGCCACAAGATAGGAAAGATCTTAACGAGATCAATTTAGGACATGAGTGCCTAGATTAGGTAATATTAAGATATTTTATAGAGTCAAACGTAAATAAAGTTCAGTTTCCCTTTTGATCTTGTCCAAGACACGTGCCTTGCGAGGCGTCTCCGATCGTAGATCGTTTAGAGTTAGCAACACCTCCCTGAGGTAGCTTCTCTTGAGCACTAAGTGCTAGAGTTTCACTTGGTCGTTCGTTTTCCTAAAACAGGTAGTTTAGGCTTTACGCTTGTTCCCTCGTAGAGTCTAGTACTTTGGAGCTAATATCGCTCGTCGAGCACTAAGTCTTCCTCTGGCTTAAAGAGATGTGTATCCCCGATACATTTTACATTGCATCTCCGAGTGCTCACCGTGAGGTCGTCTCTCCCCAGTAACATCATCATTTCACCCTTACCCTGTAGCCGTCATTTTGCCAACGTTTGTCCACTTCTGTACAATCGTGAATTTAGTTGAGAACTCGTAATGCCGAGTCAATACTGCCGCCTTTACAAGAAAAGGTAGAACTGTTTATGGTCAGGGTGGCTGCTACGTGTACTGCAAACAAGTGTAGATAGACAAAAACTCGCGGTCGATGCGAAGGATAGGCCAACCTGGCTACTTGGACTGCGACAAATTAAAAAAATACGAAACCGAAATTTGGATAAGAAGCGCAGTTTATTGTGATGCAGCAAAGTTGTCACGAAAAGTGATGGCTTGAAGAAGCAAGATGGCGACTTATTTCCCACGATGTTCTACCGTCGGCGTCATCACTGCATAGGGATGCGAGCCCTTCAAGCTAGTACGGCGAATCCATGATCTGAGGTGTAACGGGGTAGCCCGTTACATAATATTGACGCCAAACAGTGTCAATAGGAAGATTTTCTAGCGTAACAATTCCCTGTCAATACTATCCGAGATGGATAATATTGAAGGAATATCATCCCGGTTTAGGATGATATTCATGCACTTCTCAACGATTGGTTGATTTAAGAAGTATCAACCATATATTACCACCAATCGCTACTAGACGCGCGCAATGAGTGGTGAGCAGGTTGTCGTCACACGACGACGTAGTTTAATTTAGTCAGATAAAGATTTAAGTTTCATTGACAGCTTAACTATATTCAATACAGTTCTCTTCTTACCCTTTACTCATCTTAGCTGTTTGAGTAGATAAGCTTCCTCTGCACGTCCTAGTGTACGTGTATTTTCGTGGCACCCAAAACAAAGGGTTCCCCGATGCACCTGGTAGCACTTCGTAGTCCGTCCAACGACTACTTAGTGTCCGTCCAACATGAACATGTTGGACGTAGAAGACGACAGCTTTCACATCACATGTGAAGGCTACCCCCATCTGAGTGACTCAGAATGGGAGATAGTCGGCCGCATGAGTGTGCTCATGGGTGAACCCGCCATCAGTGTTATGTTGGAGTCTCTAAACAGAAACCAGCAACATGCTGCTATCAATAAGTTCCTACAAAGAAAACTTGCTGCCGAACGACAGAAGATAGCCTTGCTACAGCAGCAGGGCTCTCATCAGTCGATGGGTGGGCCGACGCATATGCGTCGACCCGAGACCTAGAAGATTGATATCTCAAGGTACAAGGGAACCGATGAAGATTCCCTTTTGAGATGGTTCGTCGAGTTAGACAACGCCATCGGGGCCCGTCACATCGAGGGTGACGAGATACAAGTCACCCTCGCCATGTCAAATTTGACAGGACGAGCAAAGACTTGGGTCTTAGGGCTCAAGCTTCACGACTCAAACGTGTTTGAGTCGTTGGAGACCTTGAAGTCTTGGCTTAAAGAGACGTTTGAGCCGCCGAGAGCCGAGTTCAGAGTACGCTCTGCACTCTTGAGGCTAAAGCAAGGTAAGCGTGACGTGCACGCTTACGCACAGCACCTGCGCTAACTTGCGAGTAGCGTTACGGAAAAACCTGTTAATGAGCACACGCTCATCACCGTGTTCATCTACGGCCTCGTAGATGGGCCGGTGAAGACCTACGTGTTCCGAGAGGACTTCCATACGCTGGAAAAGGCGATAGCGTAAGCGGAACAAGAAGATTTCAGCCTAAGACAGTCTCAGGATAACTCTTCAGACTATCGTCCGACGAGACGGCAGGAAAACAGAGGTCCTAAACCAATGGACCTTTGTTATGTCAAGAGCGAGAATTCTCGCTCTCTGAGTCACAAGCGAACGGCAAGATGCTATCGCTGTCAGAAGTTCGGCAACTACGCTCATGAGTGTAGTGTCCTAAGCACCGTACCACATCCGAAGACAGGACGTGATGACCTCCGTCGG